AATTATTACACAACATCAAGAAGGAAGGACCCCTCCCCAATACATTTTATGAAGCCAAAATCACCATGATACCAACACCAGGAAAGGGGGCAACAAAAAACAAAACTACAGACCAATATTCCTCATGAATATAGATGCAAAAATTCTCAACAAAATCCTAGGAAACCGAATTCAGATGCTTATCAAAAAAATAATCCATCATGACCAAGTGGGCTTCATTGCAGAGATGCAGAGATGGTTTAACATACACAAATCTATAAATGTAATTCACCACATAAATAGAAGCAAAACCAAAGACCATATGATCCTCTTAATAGATACAGAAAAAGCATTCGACAAAATAAACACCCTTTTATGATGAGAGCACTTAACAAAATAGGCATACACAGAATTTACCTAGAAATGATACAAACCCACAACCAACATCATACTGAATGGGGAAAAGTTGAAAGCATTCCTAGTTAGAACTGGAACCAGACAAGGTTGCCCTCTATCACCACTTCTATTCAGCATAGTGCTGGAAGTCCTAGTCAGAGCAATCAGACAAGAGAAGGAAATCAAAGGCATCCAAATGGGGTCAGAAGAGGTCAAACTATCTCTCTTTGATGATGATACGATCTTATATCTAGAAAATCCCAAAAGTTCTGACATGAGACTACTGGAATTGATAAACAAATTCAGCAAAGTCTCAGGTTACAAAATCAATGTACAGAGATCAGTAGCATTCCTATACGGTAACAACAGTCAAACTGAGAACCAAATCAAAGACTCAATACCCTTCACAATAGCAACAAAATATAGTACCTAGGAATATATTTAACTAAGGAGGTAAAACACCACCACAGGGAGAACTACAAAACATGAGGAAGGAATAGCAGAGTATGTAAACAGGTGGAAAACCATACCATGCTCATGGTTTGGCAGAACTGACATTGTTAAAATCTCTATACTACCCAAAGTGATCTACAGATTCGATGCAATCCCTATTAACATACCAACATCATTTTTCACAAATCTAGAAAAAATAGTTCTACACTTCATATGGAAACAGAGAAGACCCCATATACCAAAAGCAATCTTAAGCAAAAAGAACAAATTTGGAGGCATCAGTCTGTCAGACTTCAAGCTATACTACAAGGCTACACTAACTAAAATAGCATTTCACTGGCACAAGAACAGAGACATAGACCAATGGAACAGAACTGAGAACCCAGATATAAAACCATCGTCATATAGCCATATAATGTTTGACAAAGCAGACAAAAGCATACACTGGGAAAAAGAATCCTTATTCAATAAATAGTGCTGGGAAAACTAGAGAACCACATGTAGAAGACTGAAACAGGATCTGCATCTTTCACCTCTCACAAAACTCAATTCATGGTGGATAACAGAGTTAAACCTAAGGCGTGAAGCTATAAGAATTCTAGAAGAAAATGTTGGAAAAACTCTTATAGACATTGGCCTAGGCAAAGAATTTATGAAGACCCTAAAAGCAATCACAGCAACAACAAAAATAAATCAATGGGACCTGATCTAATTCAAAAGCTTCTGCACAGCCAAGGAAACTATCAGGAGAGCAAACAGACAACCTACAGAATGGGAGAAAATATTCGCATGTTACACATCCGATAAAGGGCTGATAACTAGAATCCTCTATAGAACTCAGGAAAATCAGCAAGAAAAAGCAAACAACCCTATGAAAAAGTGGGCAAAGGACATGAACAGAAACTTTTCAAAAGAAGATAGACTAATGGCTAACAAACATGAAAAAATGCTCAACATCTCTAATCATCAGGGAAATGCAAATCAAAACTACAATGAGATGTCACTTAACTCTAGTGAGAATGGCCTTTATCAAAAAGTCCCAAAACAATAAATGTTGGCTTGGTTGTGGAGAGACGGAAACCCTCATACACTGCTGGTGGGACTTCAAACTAGTGCAACCTCCATGGAAAGCAATATGTAGATACTTCAAAGAGATACAAGTATAACTACCATTGATCCAGAAATCCTATCACTGTGCATCTTCCCAAAGGAACAAAAAACATTCTATAAAAAAGACATCTGCACTAGCATGTTTATAGCAACACAATTATGTGGAGACAACCCAAGTGCACATCAATACATGAGTGGATTAATAAAATGTGGTATATGTATACCATGAAGTTATACTCAACCACAAAAAATAATGGTGATCTATCACCTCTTGTATTATCCTGATGGAGCTGGAACCCTTTATATAAAGTGAAATATCCAAATAATTCATTAAAAAGCACCATGTGTAGTCACCATCAAATTGGTTTTAAAAGCTCCACACTTAAGTACACAGATAGTTATAACATTCATCGGGCGTTGGGCAGATGGGAGGGGGAGCAAGGGATGAGTGTATATACACCTAATGGGTCTAGTGCGCACTGTCTGGGGGATGGACATGCCTGAAGCTCTGACTCGGGTGGGGCAAGGGCAATATATGTAACCTAAACAACAGTTTTACCCCCATAATATGCTCAAATAAAAAATATATAAAATAAGAAACAGGAACTATGAACCTGAGACCAGGGTGGAGGGGAATATGATTTCCAGGGTTACCAATGGTAGGGTAAAGTTAGGGTGAGGAGCTTATGGTCTGGGTGGAGAAATAATTCTCAACACAAAGATTAAGATAGAAAGTAGTATGAAATTTATTTTACTTTTTCCCAGAGAGAGGGAAAATAGGCATAGCACAAGAGTAAAAGAAAGAAGGAGTGTTGGCACTGAGGTCAAGTAGCTTTAGGCCTCTTATTGGGGCTTGTAATGGGGTAAAGAAAAGTTTATTTTTATAGGCTGATTAACAGGAGACAGCTGTAAGATGTCAAGGTGTCTGTTTCTCTTATTTTTTCAGTCACCTGGAGATGGTCTTCTTATCTGTCAGGACTGGTCTGGTGAATGTAAAAGAGGATTTACACCTTTTTTCTGTGTGTTCAGCTCTTCTCAAATGCTGTGAACATAAACTCATCAGGAGTTTAGTTAATGTTAAAAGACAGGTGATTAATCTCAAGAACAATAAGTTTAAGGTTAATGTATCTGCGGTCAATCTTGGAGACAGTGAGTTAGGTAGTTTATGTTTCTCTCTGTTAGCTAGTTTATTAGAAAAGCCGCCATTTCATTCCCCTATCGGCTTTGGTTAAAATTAATATTCTTATTATTGAACTTGGAAATTAGGATACTTGAATAGAGCTCTGTTCTTCGGTAGCTTCTTCCTGCTGGCTAAGGGTCAAGGGATGTGCCTGCCTGAGAGAATCTATTTGAATCATTAAGGGGGAGGGGTTGAAAATGGATGGTCTTAAAAGCAAGAGTGGAGGGAGAATGGGGATTTTGATGGAGAGAAATAGGTAGGGTCTGAATTTGCTTTTGTATGAATGTTACCAGGTTGTGGAGAATGTAGGGTCTGAAAATGAGTACCAAAAGAAGAGCTGTTAGGGGTCTTAGGAGAGGGGTTAGCCAAGAAAATTAAGGCCACATATGGAAAGAAGAGTTGACACTTCTGAGAAGTTAGAGGGCCTCTTGGATTATAGGCAAATAGATATATTATAGAGTGGCCGTAGTGGGAGATATGGACAGGTAAGGTTATTATTAGGTTCCCAGCATAGGCAAAGGACAGACCAGCCTGGGATGTAAGCTGGGCTATGGTGACATTCATAGAATAACAAGAGAAGTATAAGGAGGAAGACCAGGGCAATATGAAGCTGTATATACCACAGCATATTATTGAAGCTTATGGTTTTGAGGCTTCTGTCAGGTGAATCAGAGTATTGGTGATGGACTGGCAGGTGTAGGCTGGTGGATTTCCGGGGAGTGGATGGAAGATCACTAGGTTTCAGTTGGGAGAAATCAATCCAGGATGGAATTCCCAGAATTTTGGCTGCAGTGGGAGTAGTGAGAATTATTTGAAAAGGACCTTTCTACAACAGTTGGAGGGGCCCCACTTGTCCTTGGAGATCCTTAAGTAAAATCCAGTCTCCAGGCTGCAAATTTTGTGGTCCCTTTAAATTAAGAGGTTGAGACTGAGGACGGTGAGTATTTGCATATTTCCTAAGAAGTTGTCGAATTAGCTCTACTTCTGGCAAGTAAGTACCAAGTGGTGATGGGGAATTGAGGCAAAAGACGACAGGAGAACAAAATGCCCACACATAAGTTTAAAGGGGCTAAGAAACAAAGGTATCCTAGGAGAGATGTGGAGTCTGAACTAATTCCATCCCTCAAAATCGGCCCTTACACTCTCACACACCTGCCTCTTTCATGATACTCCCTGGGCCTAGATGGAGTATGTTTGTAGTTTTAGTAGCAGGGCTTTGACAGTGAATAACAAGTTTGGGCCAGGTAGGATTCAATAGTTTTAAATCTTGGAAATATTAGGTAAACATTGCTATTTATGCAATACTTGTCATAACTCTGGAAAACAAAGCATGAAAAGGGCACTTGCATTAGCAAGAGTGTTTCCAGGGTCATGAGTGAAGAGTATAATATAGAAGAATGTGAGTAAGAAAAACTGGTACCTTGAATGGGGGAATAAATGACTCTTAGCAACAGCATGAGAAATTTTTTGACTATATTAAGTAATTTAGAAATATCAAAAAAAGTCAAAAGTACAGTATTCATGTAATTTCATTAAGAGCAAATTAATATTTTAAGAAAACTTTGTTGTTTCAACCAAAAGCTTCCTTTTTTAATTGATCACATACAAAATTGCTCCATAAAAAAGCTAAACTTGATCACATACAAAATTCCTCCATAAATTCCCTTCTATGAACCTTATCTATAACATACTTAACCTTTATGTTTTGTCCTAAATTCCCCTTTTCTTAAGTAACCAGTTATTTTAGGACAAAAAAATTTCCATACAAGATCTTTGCTCATACAATATTATTCTCCTTTCTGTTTAACCTTTCTTACCAAAAATATATTTCTATATTCATTGCCTTTTTACATTTATTTAGTCATTCACTTAGCCAAACTGATAATTAAAAGATTTCAAAAGGCAAAAAAAAATATTTTTACTCTTTGATAGAGAGGAGACTCAGCTTCCCAAATAATCACAAGACCTAGTATAGACAAAACTAAATACAAGTTAATAACGAGGCAAATTGAATCTGTTTATTTTCTCTCTTTATGCCCCCATTTTTTGGTTACAATTAATATTATTATTATATCATATGAAAATCTTATTCAAAAGAGAATCCCAAATTTTATCCCTATCCTCAGTTTCAAGTGAGTCTTTAATGTTCACATTGTTGCTGGAACTGGCTGTTTCAAGTATCCTTGAGTTAGTGATATCATAGACAATGAGTTTTACCTTAATGTCAGTAACCTAGCAACTGCAGTTTTAAAGAAGGAAGATGGAGAGCTTGACAGACTCTGCATTTTAAGTGTTTAGTGGCAGATTGACCATTTGAGTTCTGAACTTTTCTTGATGTAATTTGTCCATCAGTTTAAACATGTGTCTAAGTACAAAGTTTCAAACCCAAGTCCAGGAACACTACATCAGAGAATTTTTTAAGAATCTTATGTCAAACCAAATCATACTATAAATGATCTGTCCTAGGTCAAAATGGCATAAAAGCCCAAATGGCAGACAGAGGATCCCCAGTGTGTACACACATAACAATTTTAAAACTAGTTTTAATTATCAAAGGTTTCCAAAGTCACATGAATTAAAAGACATTTGAGTTCTTTCTTATGTTCTTGATAAAACCCAGCCCCAAGATCCTGCTCCCAGAGCTCCCAAAAGCATGGAGGGCTTTGATTTCAGCATTCTTGCAAATACTCAAAGCAAGTAGCCTCCTAGCAAATCATTTCAGTTTAATTACTAGCCTGTGCTGGATTACTGGCTGCTGGATATGAAGAGCTGGTTTTAAAGATATTGGCAAACTTTTCTCCAAGGGATAGTGTGAGGTTTTTCTTCACTTCTCGCTCCCTGCCCATGCCTAAACTGGCAGGCATCCCACTAAGTTGGTCATGGCCATCTCAGCTGCAACATGGAGCCCCTATTCTGTATACATGCTCCCAAGCACCCTACCCACACCCTTCTTGCAAGCACTGTCTCCATTTTATGAACTAGCCCTCCTGCAGACACACACCAGCAAATCCCACTCACCACAACTGGTGGAAACTATTAATGGGAAGCCAATAGCGGGCGCCTAAGGGATAGCACTTTATGCGTTGAGCCTGAGGCAGGCATGTTGTCACCTGGACCAGGCATCACAAGAAGATCAGACTTAGCTGCTGGATATACCTCTTGTCCCAACCCAGGATCGCTGCAGATCACAGCCCAGAATCTGCAGAGGCGTGAAGCCTCAGCACAGGTGAAGCCACGGTGGTACCAGTTACCATAGCCTTGGAGTCGAGGACTGAGAAGAACTTCATGGTCAGTGCTTGGATGGCGACAGATGCTCCAATGAACTCTAGGGAACTACCTTTCCCTGGGACAGCAGAATGTCCTTGTCTCTGCTGCTCTCAGTTTGTAGCTCCTGACCTCTTACAGCATGCCCAACCTCAAAATCCCACTTGCAGCACCCAGGGGAGGATGACTGCTCTGCTTTCAGTGTCCTTGCTGGAACTCCGAGCAAGCAGCCCCCTAGTCATTTATTTCAGCTTAATTACTGCTAGCGCATGCAATGTGTGGCCTGGCCATGGCCCATTCTAAAAAATTTTACATGAGAATCCCTATGGTCAGTGTGAGGTCTTGCCCCCCTTTCCTTCCCTTCACCCCCAAAGTCATCTTATAATCAACCTAGCACAGTCCCTTCCTCAGGGTAGTCACTCCACCCAAGTAGGGAGTAGTCAGCAAAGCTGTAAGTTGGGGCCGCCATCCTGCACATGTATATGCCCCCTCTTGGGGCCCCTTCTTCTCGACACCGCCCTATTTTTTGGCCACGCCTGGTCTCTTGCGTGCCTAAGCAAGTTCCACCCACTGCAACTGTGGTACAAAGAAAGCCAATAGGAATCGTCTAAAGGAGAGTGGCTTGGCGTTGAACCTACCGCAGAACCCCTATAACCAGTACCAAGCCGAGGACTAGCTCCACCCTCTGGCCACAGCTTTGGCCTCAAACCACGGAGTTTGTGTAGGCGTGTGGCATTCCAGCCATGGATCATGGGCACAACTACCATGATGACCCCCGCTACCACTGCCTTGGGGTGTACGAGGTAGAAGTAAGAGCCAGACCTGTTCTGGGTGCAGCAGCATTAGCAAGAGGTGTCCACATTGGTGAAGGAGCCCCTGGCCTAATGGACGACGTGAACCATGAGGTCTACTTCAACCATGATGGTTACATCAACCACAGTGGTGGCTACATTGACCCCAATGGCTACATCGACAATGATGCCTACATCGACCATGATGCCTACATCGACCAAAATGGCTATATCGACCACGAGGAAGACGTGAACCGTGAGGGAGACGTGAACCATGAGGGAGATGTGAGCCACGAGGGAGACGTGAACCATGAGGGAGATGTGAACCACGAGGGCGGCAGCGGCGGCGGCAGTGGCGGGGGTGACGCCAGCGACCAGGAGCCCAGGCAGGAGCAACTGGAGAAGCCAGCCCACGCCGCTGAGCATGATCAGCAACCCCGAAACCGGCGCCGCCGTCGAATCCAGCGCAATAACTTCACAGCATTGCAGCTGCGGGAGCTGGAAAATGCTTTCAGATATACTCGATACCCTGATGTGCTCACAAGGTGAGTGGCTTGCTTCAGGAGGTGCCCAGTTCTCCAGGGAGTTTGGGTTAATTTTGAGACATCTTTCTCTCTCCCCCTTGGCCTCCCCCACCCCCACCCCTACCCCCACCCCCACCCCCACCCCCACCCCCTGGCAAAAGCCACTGGGGGTCCTCTCCTGTCTTTGTGGGAGATGTTTTCTGGGCATCCCCAGATGCAGTGTTTACATGAATGACGTCTGGAAAATGTTTGGGGGCTTTTTTTAAGTTATGGTAAAATAAACATATACATAAAATTTACTATCCAAACCACTTTTTAAGTGTGAAGTTGACTTGTGTTAGATAAATGCATACTGTTGTGCACTAGATCTCCAGAACTCTTCTTTTTTTGCCAGACTAAAACTATGTGCCTATTAAGGAATTCCCGTTTTCCCCAGCTCCTGGCAACCACCATTCTACTTTCTGACTCTAATTTTGACTACTCTAGGTGCCTCATAGAAGTGGAATCATGCAGTATTTATATTTTTGTAACTCATTATGTATTTCAAAAGGCATAATTTCCTTAGGGTCCATCCATTTATGTTAGAATTTCCTTCCTTTTTAAAGCTGAATAATATTACATTGTGTATATCTATATCTATATGTATATTATATATCACAATTTTTAACCATTCATCTATGAAGAGGCATTTGAATTGCTTCCACTTTTTGGTTATTATAAATAATGCTGCTGTGAACATGGATGTACAAATATCTTTTCAAGTCCATGTTTTCAATTATTTTGGGTATATACCCAGGTATGGAATTGCTGGATCATATTATAATTCTATGTTTAATTTTTTTGAGGAACCTCCATCTTCTCTTCCATAGTGGCTGTACCATTTTACATTACTATCAACAGTACATGGGGGTTCAAATTTCCCCACATCCTCACTAACACTCATTATTTTTTTTGAAAATAACTATCCTAATGGGTGTGAGATGGTATCTCATTGTAGTTTTTATTTGTATTTCCTCAGTGATTAGTGAGGTTGAGCATCTTTTCATGTGCTTAGTGACTATATATCTTCTTTGGAGAAATATCTCTAAGTCCTTTGCCTATTTTAAAATCTATTTGTTTTTGTTAATTGAGTTGTAGGAGCTCTTTATATATTCTTGACATTAACCCCTTATCAGGTATATGATTTGCAGATATTTTCTCTCATTCTGTGGGTTGCCTTTTCACTTTGTTGATTGTATCCTTTGATACACAGAAGTTTTTAATTTTGATATAGCCCAATTTATCTATTTTTTTTATTTTATTGGCTGTGCTGGTGGCCTGACTTTATAAATAAAATTTTATTGGAATTGGAATAAGGAGAATAAGTACTGTCATGCAACTGCAGTGTGGGATCTTTCCATCATTTAAAATTTTGATAATTTGTTCATTGTAGATTTTTGCATTAATTTTTATTTATTAAAATAGTGCATTAAAATTATTTATTTTGATTATTGAGTTGTTAATACTGCTTTAAATTTTGTGATGAGGGCAAACCATTTTTAAATCAAGCCTGGAATTGGGAATTACAGAAAAGTATATACTTGGGGGAGTTGTGAGGGGAGATAGTAAATTTAAAAACAACCATGAAATGTAAATACTATATTTCATTTTATCCACAAGTTCAAATACTAAACATTTGTGGTTTTCTCTACACAGAAGGGAGCTTGCAAGACGCATGGGTGTGACTGAAGAAAGAGTGCAGGTCAGTAAACCTGTAAAAAGCCACATGGCAGGACAGCCATTCTAAATCTTACTTCAGGGCTTTGATAGTTTTTCCAGGAAGTTCTCAAGTTGATGTGTTTTTATTGTCTTTTTTCATTGGCAAATAAGTTTTGAACTTGGATTTTTTTGTGGGTGGAAAATGGGATACATAAACTCCAGCTTATGATTATTTCCCATTTCCCATTCCCATTAGGGAACATGATTTCCTAAAGGAAAAAACAAAACAACAAATTACTTTCCTATTTCTGTATACAAAATTAAATATAATATAAAGACATACATGTATAGTTGTATACATATAAAATGTGTACAAGCGTATATGTGTATGTCCCGTAAGTAAAATTCAACTCCTTCTTACATGGTTATTCTTTAGGAAGCATTTCTGTGTGGTCAAATTGGGGCTCAGTCTGACCTTAGAAGTATTCAAGTTAATGCAAGGAGGAACAGGATTAAAAGAGAGTTCAATTATACTAAATTATTTAAAGCCAGGCATAAGCACTTAGCTAAATGAATGAATTTATAAATATTGGGATGGGGGAGCAATTCACACTATATGAGGAACTAGTTAGTGTATGTTTAGTTAAGCTGAGACTGAGGTAGGAAGATAGCTTAAAAGTCTAAGTCTAAGTCCTCCTTTTGTTTTTAAGTTTTGGGTAAGGCAGTATAGAGTGGCTGCTCTAAATTTTAATTTTCTGAAATACTTTAATGTGTCAACCTGTAAACACTGCTATAATAGTCATATTATGGTTAGAATAGGGGGAAGATTTGTAAGCTTTGGAAATTTGTCTAAAGAATGAAACAAACAAAAAGAATAATATTACTTAATTTCAGTTGACCTAAGAAGGGTCAAACAATTTTTTAAAAATTACATATGGTCAAAATAGACCTTGAAGATAACACACAAATTCAACATTATGAAACTACTAAATGCCTATGTGAGTATGATCTTGAGGAATTTCTATCCATCTAAGGGTTTATTTTTTCCATTTTGGTGGTACTATTTTGGAGAGGTAGGTTTTATGGTATTTTTGGGGGGAGGTGGACCTCATTTCAGGATAGATATGTACCTGTGTTAATTTCAAATACTTTTCATTCCTTTAGTCAGGGATGACTAATTTGTAGGTCATGGGATCAAATGATGACCTACTTAAGGCCAAAGAGAACCATAAGCTGTATCGAAATGATATTTGCAAAAAAAAAAAAAAAAAAAAAAAACAGAAAAGAGAAGAAAAATCAAGATTTAGCCAGGCATGGTAGCACTCACCTGTAGTCCCAGCTACTTGGGAGGCTGAGGCAAGAGGATCCCTTGAGACCAGGAGTTTAAAGTTACAGTGAGCTATGATCATGCCACTGCACTCTAGCCTGAGCAACAAAGCAAGACCCCATCTCTTTAAAAAAAAAAAGAAAGAAAAGAAAAGGACAAAAAGAAAATCAAGATGACCTCTGTGGGGGTGAGGAGGAACTTTCCCTTTCCCCCCAAAGTTCACTGAAAGCTCAACTCACAATTAAGGCAGATTAATAAAAGAAAGTTTTTTTGCCGTGTGCACAGGGAGAATCAATATCCCAATAAAGTCCAGAAATGTTTATACCTTCCTTTTAGAGGGGAGGGAGAGATGAGGAATATAGGCAATTCTGTTTAGGGGCAATAAATGGTTGCTAGGGAGGATGAATGGATGGGGGAAACAGATTGACTTGTAAATAATTCTCTTCACAAATTAAATTAACCTTGAGAGACAGGTATTATATTTAAAATGATTTGGGCCAGATCTGGTTGCATTCTTGATCTTCTTGCCTGCAATATAGTAAGATAACAGGGAGGGGAAAAGAAGTCAATTGTTCTTTTTTGATGGGTTCATCTGGTCTATGCGGTTAAGGGGGAAAGCCCCTTCCAATGCCTATTGATCTGGAAGGGCCTTTAATTCAAAATACTCTTTATACCAAGGAGTCATATTTTGGGTTCAAATTTCCTGAGCTCCTTCACCTTATTATTTGCTTTACTGCAAAGTGCATGTGTGAGTGCAGTGATAGTAATGCACAGCAGGTCTGATGGTGGCATGTCTAGAAAAGTAGCCCAACAAAGCAGGCCACTGAGTGCAGGCATCCTAATGCCAAACGCTGGGCCTGCAGTCAGACCTGGCTTGTGTTGGAAAATTTGAGAAGAGGTTGTGAGCACTTTCTCAGAGCGGTAAGGCAAACTCAGAGGAAAAGGAAAACTTAAGGTTTGGTTAGTTGCTTTTCCCCATCCCTGGGTTTACATAGTGTTTTCTCAGTGGCATTCTGACGGCAATACGAGCTGTAAGAAACACATAAGGGGAAAGACAGAATATTCTCATCTATTTCCATACTCTACAGCATGAATTTCCCCAAGAAACTTAATACACAGTTTGTCCCCTAGCTTTTGCAAATATAGATAGAACTATTTTATGAAGCCAGTATTGGAAATACAGACCTCATATCAGCATATACTACAGTGAATCCACTGTGCACTTTGGTTATGTTTATGGAGATTTGACCAATATTTGAATCTTCCCAAAATGAACTCTGTTACACTGGCCTTCTACAGACTATATAATCACACAGCAGAAAGACCCCCAAATCCTTAGATGCAAGAGTGAAAATGAGGCATCAGGCAGGGGAGAAAGCCCTTTGTGTCACTTAAAATTTTCAGTTTGGGGACTTCCATAAGGATTAAATACAATATAGATTCCACTAACTAGGACACTGAAAGGATAGTAATATCTAACTGAAAGGGTTTTTGTTTTGTCTGTTTGCATTTTAATCGTTGGCAGATACTTAGGGAGGAGCCATTTTGTGGCCCCTCCCTCAGATTGCTGTTAACCATCTTCCTAAAATGCTGGTTCTACCTTTTTGCCTTAGGTATAAAGGATGGCAAGGCCTGGGGAGCCCCCAATGTGCTAGGTAACAGCAGTTCCAGTCCAGGATACTGGAACTGTAGCTAGAACAGAGTGAGCTGACCTTGTCCTAAGCCCAGGAAGGATGGGAGGGTACAACGGGTTGGAGAATTCACAATTGACATTGGTGACAATGGCATACTTCTTTCCCCTAAATTCTTGGGTTGGCAAAGACTTTTGAGAGTTTTAGTTAATTTGGATTGAGTTGGTCTCAACTTTCCTTAATGCTACAGGCTAAAATATCAAGAAAATATCCAGACCTCCCTTGCCAGAAGATGAATGATCCCTTAGACATCCTTGGAGGAAATCTGTCTAAAAATACAACATGCTTCTTTCTATTGACTATTTACTTTATACTAAAGAGCTTTTAAAACAGGGAACCATTCCCCTCAGTGTGACTTTAAATGGGGCCCACTTTTACCATGCCCAATTTCCCTAACAAACAAGGTGAAACTATTGAAACTATCCCTAGTGAGGAGGGGGCAGGAGGCAGCTGGACAGCTGATGGTCAGCTGTCAGGATGCAGACCTTTCTTTACCCTGTTACCAGGCAATGAATTAACAGCAAAGACCTGGAACAATTCAGAAGGCAGACTTGCATCCAATATCTGGAATAAAACATGAAAAAATATTAAATTAGGAGGAGAGAGACAAAGTAATAAGTCTGTTCTAAAGCTGGGCACATAGCTGGTGCTCACAAAGGGTGAGCTGAAGGGAGGGAGTATGGTGTTAGCTACCCTAAGGTATTTTAGCTATAAGGAAATAGCATCTCTTGATGCACTTTAAAATCTCAACAGCATGTGAAGTTGCACGTTGTGTTTTTTTCTACTATGACATTAACTGTTCAATATACTAAACCAATACCTTTTTCCCTCTGATTATAGGTTTGGTTTAAGAATAAAAGGGCCAAGTGGAGGAGAAATCAGAGGGCATCAATGCTCAATAACGTACCACCTGCTATCGTGAATCACGTTATCGTCCTACTGTTAGATTAGTCCTAGAATGCCATCCTGCTTCAGGAGCCAGATTGGAGATGGGTTCTTCTGGTGCCACTGACACCTGGGCTGCCCATGTTGCCCACACTACCCTTATCTCCTCTGCACTTATATTATCAATAAAGATGTGAATTCTCAATACATTTCTTCTTGTGTGCCAATTGTGGTTAGTAGGGGATAGATAAAAAATTGTTAAGGAAATGCCATTTAAACAGAATAATAAGATCTCCTTTCATGAGATGACATCTCATGAATAAGCCCTGCACATCGCAGAAGTTTTCAGTTCCCATGGTGAGTCTGCACTGACCCATACATTCTTTTCTGTCCCCGCCCCCCATCATGCTATCCTCATCCCCACCCTGCCCCTTGAGGACCACAAAGATGTGCAAGAAGAGGCGTGGCAGGTCCCTAGTGAAACAACAGTGTATTTCTAGACAGGGATGAGTTCCATTCATGGTAATTAATTCAGTCTGAACCCTAAACTCTAAGAGAAACTTCCTCAGAGGCTGCTCACAGTATTTAGGAAGTTGGTAGCCAAACATTCAACCAATATGCTCCAAATTCTGGTCACTCACCTCCCTTTTTGTGAAGGACATAGGGGAATAAAAGTCATTCTGGCCTATGGTTCTGCCACTTCAAAAGAAACATGAAGTATCCCAAGAATGGAAAAACAAACACCACATATACTCACCAGCAAACTGGTATTAACTGAGCAGCACCTAAGTGGACACATAGGTACTACAGTAATAGGGTATTGGGCAGGTGGGAGGGGGGAGGGGGGTGGGTATATACATACATAATGAGTGAGATGTGCACCATCTGGGGGATGGTCACGCTGGAAACTCAGACTTGTGGGGGGAGGGGGGAAAGGGCATTTTTTGAAACCTTAAAATTAGTACCCCCATAATACACCGAAATAAAAAAAAAAAAAAGAAACATGAGAAGAAATTTCATGAAGGCCAGAAAGATGCTTCTCTCCCCTCTCCCACTGCAAGCTCAGGAAGCATATTGCTGTACCTCCCCCAGCTCATAGGCAGATGAACACTCCTCCAAATGCATTTTGTCACCTTCAACATCCTTGAGAGAACCCCGCTTCCTGCTCATTAAACACTGAAAGGGGACCTTTTCATTTAGTGCTCAAAGCAAAAGTAAGAAGATGGTTCCCTGAGTAATGCTCCAGAATAACCACTCATTGGAAAAAGCAGTCATACCTCTGCTTTTTTCATGAAATCTTCTTTGTGCAAAACTGCCAGGATAGAAAAAAACAAAAATCAGGTTAGGAGGATGAAGAGGCCAGGCCTGCTTTTTTAAAGCATAAAGTTCTCCTCAGTTGAACCTTTCTTTTGAATAATCTTTAACAATGTGACTCCCCTTTAATGGAGTTTTATGTGAAAAGTGATTAATTATTGACATCACAGTCATAGTATAAAGTTATTGCAGTGACTACAAATAAGGTACCATGGTTATAGCAGAATATCCTCTCATGGGGGATATTGAAAGACCAGTTTCACAGCACTTATGTTCCCAGTGTGAAGGGAGGCTCTGTCTCCTTGGGAAGGCATGCCATGGTGTCCACTAATTTTTATTTCTTTCTTCTTACTTCCTTTTTCACTTGTGATTGTCAAATGTCAGCAAAGTGGTTGTGCCTCACATGGGGCTTCCACAGAGAGAAGAATGTTTTTACTATGCAGAGGCCCCAGGCCCTGTTGGGGAAATCCAAGAATGTACCTGTATATGCCCATTGCCACTCTCACAGGATGATTATGAAACAAAAAATGCTTATTTCCCAGTGATAACCATTTTCCTTCTTAACCATTAAATTTCTCAATGCTTTAGGCAGCCTCAGAACTACAGGGTCTGTACAAATAAGCTCCAGGACACCAACTGTCAGATCCAATATTGACACCTTCTCTGCTCTGGCCATGGCTGAAACTGAAAGAGTGCTCAGCACAAATCTCTCAGTCAATCTTCATACCCAGTCTGACACACACTAACAAAGAACATTCTTTTTCATAATCAGGCTGCCTGGAAGAACAGGGAAAAAGTGAATAGCTTTCCCAGAAGTGGATGGTGTCTTCAAAAGTCATATATACTATTAATATTTTTAACATGCCTCTGCTTCTTTCAGGAGCCAGATGTATTAACGCAGGGTGGTGGTGTGAGGCAGAAGAGATATGCAAAACATTGCTGCAGATTATAATTTGCCCACAGTCTAGATTTTCAAAGAGAGAAGTCTTCTAAAATTAATACCACAAAAAGCACTTCTCTTAAAATACATTTCAAGTATCCCAAAGGCATTGATCAGAAATTTATTCTAATGTAAGGAAATAACCTTGGTTTATAAAAAATATCTTTAGAAACTGGACACTAACAAATATGCTGATCCAAGATATGTTATCTTTGCAGATGTTAGTTTTGGGTGAAAAATTACAAATACAACATTGTGAGTACAGTAGATTCGGCATTTTACAGTAATCTAATAGTTCTCAATGTGGTCTTGCTTTTGAAAGTTTGTCACAGTGAAGAACACATGCCAGTAAACTTTCAAGATACTAAGGTTGGTGGTCAAACTAAGTAGGAAGAAGGTATGAACTATTTGGGAGGAAAACTTTTGTGATTAAAACTAGATTTATGTAACTTGGTTCTTGATTCAAACAAATATAATATAATCAGAACCTTGGTGATCTAACTTGGAAATGCCTGAAAATCAAAATTCCAAGAAACTACTTTAACTACAAGTACTTAGAGACAAAGAGCAGGGGGAAAGGAAAGGCAGAATTAATTCTTAATTGGACAATACAGGAGTATAGTCTGTCCAGGTAGATGTGAAAAGTCACCTTTCAAACAAAGAGAAGAGTTACTATAAATGTATACAAAGTAGGGAAATGGAGTTTAAGTTGTTTTCAAAAAACCAAAAATACATCTACCTGTTTTCTGTCTGGCATAACCCACAGCTAGAGTTGCCCCAAAAGCGGTGGCAGGGGAATTCCCACAAGGGACTGCCTCAAACCATCCGCTGTTGGGGCTGGTTGGGATTTCAAAGAAAGAAGCACTAAAGGCGAGGGTAATCAATCCAAAGTATTTATTAGGAGAACCTACATACAAAGGAGGATTCAGCTTGCTCATGATGGACAGCGAGACAAGAGATGTCCTACTTAGGTATGTCAGAATTCAGGGGCTTGGGTTATGGATTTTATATGAGGGTTAAAGAATTTGGTTCAGGGTTTGAACTAGTTTCTATGTTTTTAGCAAGATTTTTGATCTTTCAGTATTTCAAGCAACAACCTAAATAAGTTTACCAGTTCCTGGGATTGTTCAGGGTATTGGCTTGGGTTCAAGCCTGCAGGGGGAAATGTGCTGCTGGCCAGGTCACACAGCAGTCAAGTCCCTCTGTGTTTCTCAGTCAGGACACAGAAAGAAACTGGGAGAAACTGGGGGACCCTGCTACAGAGGGAATGGCCTGAAAAAATGGCAAAAATATTTTCTGTCTCTTTAAAACACCCCCCACTCCTTTTTGAAAACTAAAACCTGCATCCCTGCCTTGGACCAGTGGTTGGGAGGGGCAGGGTAATGTCTTTTGTTCTTTGTGCTAGGGGACATGGCTCTACGGAACTCCCGGCCCTGCCCAGACCTGGCAGGCAGAGGTCCTGGAGGTCTGGGTGGGCCTCTCAGGTGACAGAGGTCATGGGATTGTCCTCGCCAGAGATGGGATGGATCAGAATCATCAGCTGTAGTTGAACAGCAATTGCCTGGAGCTGAATGGCCTCCCTTCAAAAGCTCTGTATTCTGCTTTTGGGGAGGGTGATGGCATTTCAGACAGGAGTCTCCAACCTCCTCATTTGCTGGCAAATTAATAAATCTCTTTCCTTCTCCTCAAACCATTTGTTCTGGTTCTTCTGATGTGGCCTCAAGGACACATGCTGAGCTTTCAGTAATAGATTTGACGTCCCTGGGTGGGGGCATTGGCTTCCCAGTAGAATGGCACACTGTAACTTGCTGGAAGAAGCAGGGAGCAGCTCTGGGTCAAGCCATGGGTAGGAACATCACCTTTTCAGGTAAGAAAGAAAGGGATTCTCCCAGCAGTTGCTGGGGCCTCTTTAGCTCTGGGAAGTCCTGTCCCATTCTCCCCAAATGGACACACCTCTGACCAACCTGAACTGAGTTAAGAGCAAGGAAATAGATTTGGGAAGCATTGCAACAGCCATGGCCATTTGTAAGCAAAGTTGTCCAAGACGCCGAGACCCTGTTAACACCAATATGGGGGTTTTCAGACAACCCTGTTTGCCAAGGTACCAATTTGGGGTGGTAAATCAAGAGGTTGAGTGAAACTAGGGTACCTGGATTGTATTGAGGTCATTTGTGATTCCCAGGGAGCCAGGGGAATTTGGAAGATGTTGGTTCTCTTGTCCGAGAAAATTTGGTTCTTGGTTGCCCCCTTTGGATTAGGAGACACTAATTGTCAATTGAGAATTCAGTTCTCATTTGTGGTTCCCATTTGGTTGGCTGTGCCATTTTGTCTTAGGGATTCCCTGTATTGCCTGTATTTGTTCCTTTATAAAATTTTGTTGCAACATAGGAAAGTTCCATCTAAAAGTCCCTTGGGAGAGAAATTTTGGCTAAATGGTCAACTTACAGCTATGAACCTATATGTAAAGAGAATGGTGTTATTGGAACCCAAAAAGTGAGCTGGAACGTGAGGAGAAGTGGCTGTTAGATGAAACCTTCAGTTTTCCTGTCTTATAACTGAATTATTTTGTCAAAGATCAGGTAAATGGGACAAGATCCCATATGTGTTGGGTTATTGGGTAGGAAATGTCCAATTTCTTCAAGGTCAGACATTTCTTGTTTAATGACTTAATACAATCTTAAAGGCCTGGGATAGTTTAAATACTTTGTTTTAGTTGGTCATTTTCCCCTGGTCTGCACCAGTTCTAGAACAGTGCTGCTGCAGCCCCAGAGGTGCACCTGCAGGAGAGGGCCACCCCCTGCCCCAAGAGGGAGGCACAGGTGAGGAGGGAACGCCTGCCAACCCAGTGCCCCAGGTCACACGTGTGACATGGTCCCACTAACGTCCTTCTCAGTTGAGGTGTTATGGGGACCCAGGGGGAGGTCCACAGGTGGGCAGGGAAGTGGTGCCTTTCTACCGATGCCTGCATGGATCCCATCTGGGGAATCGCCCCTGCCACTGCAGAGCTGCAGCTCCAGGCCTAGGGTAAGGAGGCAAACAGGGA